AACACCATTACCGGAACGATACAGTCCCCATCGTCGACCTCGTAGTAGATTGAAAGCTGGGCCGTTGTACGGGAGGGCGGGGTTCGAGTCCATCCAAGAGCTCTTTTTGTCTAGGATTTTTTCATATCAGCAAGTTTGGTTGGTTTGGTTAGGTTATGACCTTCTAATTTTATAATTAAAACATTATAAAATTGAATTTGAGCCATTTATAGTTTTATTTTGTGAACAGAACTATTTTTTCGATTAAACCTTCATTCGATTTTTCATTATCAGCAAGTCTGGTTAGTTTGGTTAGGTTATGACAGTTTAATTTCATGATTAAAAAAATATAAAATTGAATTTGAGGCATTTATAATTGTATTTAATGAACAGAACTAATTTTTCTATTAGTAAACCTTCAATAGTCAATCAGAAGCCTCCAAATGACACTGTTGGCAAAATTAATCCTGAAAAACTAATCGTGCATCCCACCAGTGGTTAATGCGTGATTGAGCCCTAAACAAACAGACTTTCAGCTTTATAATATTAATATTTTAGGTGATACTAGTATTACTATGAAGATTTATTACATAAAGGTTGCACACGTAAATTGAGTGTAGTTCTTAGAGGTTTCATGAAGGTCGACTTTTGCAATAACCGCTCAGTAGGGGTGTAGCTAAATCACCTACCCGACATAAGAAGGCGCCACCACTCACCTAGAAATCAGCTGATTTTAGTTAGTAACACGTGTCTCACTTCATTCTAAACTCACATTGCATTCATATTGAAATTATAGGCTATGCACTCAATTGCATCAATTTTACAATAGATTGATAAGCATTCATTGATATATATATATATATATATATATATATATATATATATATATATATATATAATATAGTAAACACGCAAACTATCGAACGGATCGGGCTGAACCGTAACACAGTTATTTCAGTAGATAAAAGTATTGTAGTAGGTCTAATTCATAAACATTAATCGTGTATTTTTCAAAAATAAATTATTTAATGTTTTTTGATAATTAGTTGTATAGGTATTCTTAATAATTTATTTCAGTCAGTTTTTATGTGTCCTCAAAACCGTGCGATAAAAAGTTATAAGTGCTAGTTGAAAAGAAAAAATGTAATAGCCCGTATTAACTATTTACATTGTTAACATAAGCAGGCTTCAAGTCCCATTTTCAATTATTATGCTTGTTTATGTCCGGTTGCATTTTGGAGCGATACTGTAACTAAATATTTATCTTTTGTTGGTTTAGGGCATATTTAAAGTTTGTGATTTACTAAAGTGTTATAACGTCAAGTAATCATTTACTAACATACCTAATTATCGAACATCTATCTATCTATATATTAATAGGCAAGCATGTTTCTTTAAAACCTTTTTTCTCAGCTCGTGTGAATCGTAGGGAAAATCTACGCATACCGTTGGAAAGCTATTTTCCTGTAGGTGTGCAGAATCCCTTTATAAATTTAAATAGGCTCAAAGATAAGCACAAAAAATGAGTTTAAAAATTTGAAAAGATTAACATGGATCTTATGCGTTGCTATGCTGGTTACGAAATAACAACGAAATATAAACAGAAAATCAAAACAAATGGAGGAAACTCCAATCACATGTTTTATTTACAGTGTGGGGTGAAAATAGATAAGTGAGTACATTACATATTTTTGGTCGAGTTTCGACCACTGGACGACCTCTCGTACTTATTTAATACACAACCAGGTTTTTTGTGACAATTACTCCTCCGAAACTACTGAACCGATTGACATGTTTTGGTGTCATTGGAAAGAGCGTAACGTGAAGTTGTGCAGGAAACTTTCTTTTTACGGAAATAATTAGAGAGTGAGGCCCTGGGGCCCTTTAAAGTTTCGTATTTCTTCATAAGATTAACATGGGAAACAAATATTGTTATGAAACTCCAGCTGTTGTCAGAAATTAAAAGTGAGAAGAAGAAAATATGTTAATTGAAAAATTGTGACAGAGAGGTTATGCAGAAAATCAGGTAGTTAATGGTTATTTGGTGCTATTAAAATAAAGATTGAAATTGGTAAACGTACTGGCGATAATGGGTGATACCATGCAGACTACATTATCATTGACAAAGACCAACATGGACAACTTATTGCGGCTATAAGTGGGAAACATTTCTACAATACACTAAAAGCCAGATCAGCTTTTGAAAAATGGTAAAATATTTACAAGAAATGTTGATTATATTGTTGGCCCTAAGCACAGAAAACATACTACTATAACCTTATAGTAGTAGGGTTATAGTAGTATGTTTTCTGTGCCCTAAGTAAGTACAATGTATTGTGAGTATTATCATTTGTCACGTAATCTTTAAGTTGACTCTTTTAAACTCATTGGAATTCATGACTTATATTTGTTCTTAAATAAGTTATTTGTTTTTAAATAACTCCTTTACTTCTTTGCGATTGCTCGATTTCGAGCAACATGCACACTAGTACTTATTTAATACGCAAGCAGGTTTTTTGTGACAATTACGAAACTACTGAACCGATTGACATGTTTTTGGTGTCATTGGAAAGAGTGTAACGTAACGGGGTTTTTAAAAATAATTATTGAGTGATGCCCTGGGTTTAAAGTTTCGTATTTCTCCATAAGATTAACATAGTAAACAAACATTGTAACGAAATTCCAGCTGTTGTCAAAAATTATAAGTGAGAAAACATATGTTAATTGTAAACAGTCAATAAGTTTGCTACAAACATTTAGACTTAGTTGAAATGAAGTATTTACTATTTAAATTTGGGTTGGCGTAAATATTACGATGGGAAAAAGCGAGAGAGCCTGGATAATTTGATATATGTACTAAAAATCAAACTGAATTACACTGTGCTGTATTTCTTAGTAATCATTGAAAGAGTCGATTTTTAAAGTATGTAAACATAGGAAAGTCATAGAACACCACCAAGGAGAAGAAAATAGAAAGTTTTTTTAGAATTTATAATCGTTTTTATGGACAACCTAGCGGCTACGAGTAATGCTATTTGCAGAAAACGCTAAAAACCAGATCAACTTTTGAAAAATGATAAGATATGTACATATAAATGTTAATTATATCGATTTGCTACGTACATCTTGAGTATTTCCATAATCTTTGAGTCGAGTCTTTTAAAGTCATAAGAAATTATGACTGTTATTCGTTTTAAAATAACGCCTGTAATACTTAGCAATTGCTCGAATTTGAGTAATAGGTACACTAGTTTAATTAAAATAGTGTTCAAATTAATAAAATAAAAAATAATAGGTGATACCAAGATGTACCAAAGTATACGGTTAGGAAGGATCCTGACGACTTATCATACAAATTTTCACATTTACTTCACATTATAAGGCATAAACGAATATTTTATTTAACTCTTAGTTTTAATTCACATATTTTGTAAAACGTAAAATTCTAAACATCGGTATGGATGAAATATGTATTACGGCCTAATATTTTATGTAATTTATATTTCCTTTAGAAACTATTTTTTTATATAGTTCGTTATCAGAAACTGTGATATCTTTAGTTAGGCCTAACCGTACACCATAGATAATTCCACTCTAATTTAAAGAATAACAAAATAATTGGTTATAATAAATCTTGTTTTTGCTTTCTTTGATACTTTCTCCCCCGATATTGGTTTCGTAAAAAAATTCGAGTTTGAGTTTTGAGTGGATATATCAGTTTTGGGCCCCCCTGAACCCAAAAAGTGGGTTTCGAAGTGATAACTGTATTTGTGTGTGTACAGAGCTACAGACCACACCTGTAGTCAAATTTTGATGAAATGTGGTATATTTCACTGTAATAGGTACTAATCTATGTTATTTCCAGGCGTTTTTTCCTTTTTTTAATTTTAATTTTTGATAGGTAGTGATTTTCTCATAAAAACCCATAAAATACAGTAATGGAAAATATGATTTTCTCAAAAATGGATCGAATGAGGTTTATGGCATTTTAGTATGTTATGGTCCTTTAAGTTCTTATCAAAATGGTACAAAATTCCATTTCCGTTAAAATTGCAGTTCCAATGTTATTTTCCCATAAAAACCATAAAATAACAACAAATCGGATTTTAAGAAAAACGCTGGTTTTGATTGAAATAATGTGCTATGGTCCAAATAATTCTTAACAAAATAAAGCAACCCCCCCCCATTGCTGTAACCATTACATACCATTACCATGTCATGATGTTAACGCACCATACCAATGTTAGCCATCAAATGTTTTATATGTATTGTTTTGTTAGAGTTTTTAGCATATAAGCATATTATTGGTTGAAGGGCGCTTAACAACCATTGGTAAATGGTTGTTACCGTCAAATAAATAAATAAATAAGCAAATAAAATAAAAATAATAAATTTACGGTCCAAAAGCTATTGCAACTTTTGGGAATTTCCCTAAAATATCATAGTTAATCCCACCTAGAGGAGGGTAGAAAGTATGTGTCAGATTGCTGATACCATTTATTTTTTCTTCTTTTTAATAGGATATAGTCTGTATTAGTCTTGTGTGTTTCTTCGTATATTTCTTTTCTAGACTCTTTTCTGTTTATTCTAAAAATAATATATATTTTTTAAGTTTAACACAGATATACCATTTTAACATTGTCGATTATTTTGGACGCTACTTTTCATCCGTTTACCTCATATAGACGCGCCCGCATCAAAGTTCTCCATCACCAAACATTCTCAAGATTTACTACATGAATCACAAACAGCTGTTACATATTTACATCTTTCATACTCAACTTCTAACAAACTTTTATTTACAAACCACGCTTGTTCCATTAGCGGCAAGTACGCGTACCTCTCAACTAAATCGATCGACAGGCAACAGCTCACACTACACGATGTGACTTCGCCTTGACGCATTGACGCTAACAACCCTGCACCTCGTGTAGCGTCGCCTCCCGAAGTACCCGAGCGGTCCCGAAGTTGTCCGGAAACAGCCGAGATTCGCCGCACGCGCGGTTCACTCGGGTCTTGTAGCGGTAGTTAATATAATGGTGCGGTAGGCATGTAGACCCCATAGACCATGGTGCAGCGAACCCCATAGCGGTGCAACACGTGACATCCTCAGCTTCCGGTCTAGAGAACGTGAGTATGTAGTCACTTCCGGTGGGAACATAAGTCAGATGATAGGCCGAGAGACAATATGTTACTGTAAACAACCGCAAAGGCAACAGCCGGGACGCATTGGTGCTTTGAATTATTTTTATTTTGGTAACATTAATTGTAATATTTACAACATATCAATACATATCAAACATTTATATACAATTTATATTAAATAATATACCAATGCGTATATTTTTTTATTTTATAAAAAGATATTTACGTTAAACATTTACTGGAATGGAAATTAAATAATTTACAGAGATAAATAATTAAATAAATTATTTAAATAATTTATTTAAGAGAGTTAAAATAATAAAATTCATTCCTATGTATCGTAAACATACCAGTGACCACGGTTGTAAATAATTGTTTTTTTTTTTACAAATAAGGGTTTACTACCCAAACTAACCTAACTGATGTATTATTTATAGTGTAAAATAAATAAATCAGAATATTATTTTGTTGAGTTAAATATTACACATTAATTTCGCTAATTTAATAAGAGTACGAGTACATTATTAATAAATTGTATGGTAATTAAAGTAACAGTATTCGTCATTAATTATACAAAATCAATAAATAGAGTTAACCCAAAAATTATTGTAGTGTGAATTTGTGGATAACCAAAAATATCTTAAATATTAGTTCCCAATGTTTGTGAAGTGTTGAAACATACTTTTCTTAATTTTTGTATACATAAATGTTACAAAAATATTCCAATTGGAAATACTAGCATAATGCAATTTTTACAGCTAAGTTAAACGTATTGGGAATCTATAACATAAAATTAAAATAAATTACACATAAATTCAAAATCTTCTTTCTTAACAATTAGGCATTTGTCCTTTTTCAAATTCACTATTATTAATATTTATTAAAAATTCTTAATGATGAATTATCATTAAATATTTTATAAAACGCAAAAAGAGGTTGTAAGAAAAGGCTTGTATATAATATTAGCTGTAAAAAAGAACATTCTGCATAAAATTTAATACAGTAGACCTAGAAAATTATCTGATTATTTGGATGGTTAATATGATTTATAACTAAACTGCACTAATACTATTAAAATTTAACTCACCTTAAAAACAGCTTTTCCAGTTTACCAAATGATTTTTGGGATAAAAAAATAAAACTTTATTCTCTAGACATCGGTAAGAGATAGTAAAATACAATAATTTATGTTGGGTCAATTAAGGTTTTCACTCGAGGCAAGAGCTGCAACATCTGTTGTTCCCTCGTAAACGTTGTTTTATTGCACTAAAAACAATTAGAAGAAATTTAATAATGGGAAACATTGTACAAAATATATTTACATAAATCCATTGTACAGTAATATAATAATTAACGGAATAAATTGTGTAATTTAAATTTAGTAACCTATAAGAAAAGAAATATTCTATATAGGTTAGAATTATATAAAAAAAATTGAATGGTAAAATATACCTTTGACAAAAACCCATTAAATGTACGTTAAAAGGTAAAAATACTCTTTTTGCGGTACAATTTATTTCACGATAGCCCTCTTTCCAAAGTAGATTAGCTGCTAAAGGGCTCCTTAAAAATACATGTTAGTTTATAAGGGCGAGCACTTTGTCCATAATCCTTTTCTGTTTGCTTGTTGCACAAAGATCACGAAAACGGCTTCGACGATTTCCTTCAAATGTAAATAATTTACACCTGGTCTAAAAACGTGTTTACTGCAGAAATGCCAACAAATATCGAATTGCGGAAAAAATAAAATTCTAATTCAAAACTGTTTAACATTGGCCTTATGGGTTGCAAAGTTACCATTTTGGTTGAACAAAATAACAAGGAAAAAATACACAAATACTTGTCACATGTGTTTATAACAAGCACACCACAGTATATTGGCCAATTATAAAATGTAATACATAGGGGAAAACATCAGTTGTTACTATTGAGCAAAGATTACACTGAAGATTACTCGATATAGGGGTACAATGGAAATAAACTCAACCGAGCCATGGCTTGGTCTCCAGGTACTCTACAAACAAAAAAGTACAGCCATCCCTATGCAATAACTAGGGGGGGGGGGGGGTCTTACCGATTTCGGCAATGACTCCACTGAAAAAAATTTGCAAAACCAGGTCTATTCATCTTTTTTTACTAGAGGGGAACGATTTCCTCGTTAATAAACCCTTTATAAAGAAGGGTCCACCACATAAATGTTTTAAATGAAACTGAAGCCTGAGAATTGTGTGTGGCTATTAATGTTTGTTATGGAAATATTAAAGTATTAGTTATACGTTAAATTCTAAATTTACATGGATGGTTTATGAATAAAACTGACATTTCGGTTGAAATTATACTAAAGAATATTGTGTCGATGACAGAACAGTTAAAATCAATTATGTCATCCAGTGGCAGTGATATATAATGCATAATGTTCTAGCATACTAGCAACAGCTGTTCTAAATGCTATGAAGTGTAGTTATAGGAAAAATAGGTTTCGTTAGTTAAAATGACGATTCGTTTGAGTTAAAAGTATTAAAGTCTTAAAATATTGATGTGCTTTGATATTGTACTTCGAAAATAAAACTTTTAACATTCACATTAAAATGCACTTACCAAATAAAGGTAAGTCTTTAGTTAAACCATTGGTGTGGTTTAGTTTATTGTTTGGGTGCTTGAAAGATTATGACTTTAAGACGTAGTGCTCCCAAAATTCATCTCTTTCTTTATATAAATCTTAGGCATAATAAAACATATTGATTTAAAAGTCAAAATATTGTTCCACCTTAGTTAAACACACAATAAAAATCGTCTACTTAGGACTTCCAAGATTCATCTTTTTTCTTCTTTTTAAGCAAATATAATAAAATACCGCACGCCCAACGTTTTCCGTTCGTATCAACTACAACACTCTATATGTGTAAAAAAATTGGTTTAGATAAATAATAGATAAAACAAAGTCACCTACATCGTAAACACATTTTGAACGAACCATGTCAAACAATAAAAGCAAATATCGGTGCGCTGTTGTTAAAATAATACATCCAATACATCATGATAATATTTATAAAACAATCTAGATAAAACATAATATAAAATATATATGTTTTAAACATAAATATTACCAACATGTAACACATAAAAATATGTTATCTTTTAAATTAAGATCATACGTCAATAATTGTCAAAATCACTATTAAATTTCACTATTAAAATTTTCCAACTAAACACGAGTGAGATTAGGGTAGGTTTTGGATGTTATTTTAGGCAAGGTTAGGTTAGGTAAGGTCAAGTTAATATGCATCACCCTCATTCGCTAAAGGAACATTTTAACCCCACTTTAAAACACTTCAGATATCTAGTTCCACTATTCTAATGAAATAGTGCTAATATTCAAATTAAATTACGCAACATGTTCCCATTTCTTAAAAATAATGATAAATCATTTAAATCAGTTGCATCCTAATATTCATTGGTTGGTCGCGAGGCAAGCTGGCCTCCGCCAGAGCACAGGAGTTCGGTCCTCGAGGTCACGGGTTCAAATCCCGCCAAATCACTAATGGATTTTATCAGTGATAATGCCCCAACCCCTAGGTATAGCCTGAAAAAATGTGATAAATGAGCCCAGTCCCTAGAGCCTAGCGTCCCAATTAAATCAACACATCAATCCACAAACTCAAAGTCAAAACATTGGGCCGAGGTCTTGTCGTGACCCATATTTTAATGTTTCAAACAAATGCGTTTTCCTCACTTTGACAGAGGCATGTCACAGCACGTCTCTTCGTGAGTTACCATGCTACCTTGTCATTTACATTTGGAACGCTCTAATGTTTATGTTGATGACACTAAAGGCTCAGTGTTGTTTGAACAACGAAACAACTCATGGACTCCATACAGGTTAGGTTCAAATTGCTATTGTACAATTTTGAATTTTGAAATATGTTTTTGATATAATTTAAAATAGAAACTGCACAACTATTTCATAAACATTTATTAAAGCAAACAAAAACAAATAGAATAACGATTTAACAAACATTGGTGCAGTTTCTGCCGACAAACAAATTACTTATTAATTTGTATAGCCACAGAATTTCACAATTCACAAACAGTGGTTAAAACGTGTCAAATAATCCTGGGTAGTGAAATTGCTATGTTTTGACTGTTACAAGAACTTTGCCTCGTATTCAAGTTATTGAGAAATTTAAAATTAGTTCATTTCATCACATGGTGTAGGAAGTCTATACATTTCAAGGATCTTTTGACGAGGTGTTGTTCAAAATTATATATTGGATTTTTACATACTGGACCCTATAGTTTATATATATATACATATATGTATAAGTTCGCAATTTCAGTTGAAATCAATTTGTAGGGTTGAAAACTAACAAATTAGTTTATTCAAACGTGTTTGTTCTTTTAATGATCTAAGTGAAAACATATAGCAAATTTAATATTTTTAGTCTTGTTGTGAATAAGTAAACTGTTGTAGTTTACTTGCATTTGATCAAATTTGCCAAATTTATTTGCATTCTAAACCTTTTATATAAAAAAAAAACAGCAGCAAACCAAAGTCTCCAACAGCAAACCAAGCAAAGTACTCACCGTTATTTCAATATTATTTTATTAAGTATTATTATTATTATTAGTATTAATATTAATATTATTTTATTTTTTAACGTCATGTCTTTTATTAAGTATACTCACCGTCAGTGCCTAACGTTATTTCAGTTTGGAATAGATCTGACATTTAAAAAAAGAAATATTTTTGTGAAAATCATATCCGGCAAATATCGCTTAGTCTACAGGGTTGCTTGAGGGAGTATCAATTTATTCTCATTACACCTTATTTAGATCATTTTGAAGCCTGACGATTGTAGAGTTTTGAAATGAACGATAAAATATTAGTAACATGTTTACAATAAGCTTACACGTAAAGGATATTTTGAAAAGTTTCATATCAGTTTTAACCAATATCCATTATAAACACGATCCCTTTTGTGCCG